AAAACCTGCGGTCACAAATGATATATTTTGTCACAAATAATGCACATCTTTCGAGGCAGAAGAATTGTAATTGGAGGTTCGTTTTCAATTATAAGCAGGAAAAAATGTGAACAAAGATCGTCGCGTTACGACGCAAACTATAAAAAGCGACGGCTAGACGCAGGTAATTGATAATGCCCTTTCAAAACATACATTTCACGGTGAAATGGAGTTGAGTTTTGCAGGAACATGCCGACTCGAATTTGGGTTTTACCTGTTGAAGGATAAACAAACAAACAAACAAACAAAACGATACAAAAATAATAGCAACAACGACAACAACCAGTAACCGAAAATTCCTTTTAGAAGACTTCTGTTTCGATTGTCTGATAACCAGTGCCCTCGCAGAAACGCCGGAAGTGCCTTTTCTAAAGATAAACTACGACCGTGACCGTATTTTAAACTTGGCTTTTCCCCAGGAAGCCAAGAAATTTCCCAATACGCATTACATGAAAAAATGTATACCTCTTATCTCCCCTTGCCTTTCGTCAGAGCTTAATAATGTTTTTTTTCCCACGTCCTTTCAGATGGCGTTCGCAATTACAATGCCAATTTGACGTCTTTTACATCGTATCTTGTTTGTTTTGGATCCGAAATTGCACAATCGAGCTTGTTTTTAATCACGATTTTCTAATCATTTACGTACACCTTTGCCTATGTTATGTTTGTGTATCCTCTCAAGCTAAACATTAAGTCTACAATAACCAGACTGCCAAATGTTACTCTTTCATCTTGTTCTTGTTCATGGCCTGCATGGTTCATGACTCTAAACCTGATATTATCGAAGAGACACATTCTGACCAATACTGTTTACTTTGTTGCCTCAACCAGCTTTCGAATGACAACGTTTATACAACTTCCTCCTTAAGACTACTCGAGGCCTATCTTCCATTTGGTCATCATGTGGCCAAAGAGATGAGACGGGTGGTGATTGAGTAAAGGCATAGATTTGTGATGATTTTAGAGGGCTGTTACGCTGTGAGTTTGCGCACTAAGTTCTTCTAGTTTGACAAATCAAATCGCTGTTGATCCCGAGAGTAATCTACTGTTGTCCGGTTTATAGCAATACACTGTGCGGATAATTCTTGCTCCGATCGTTTCCTGAGAGCTTCTCAAACATGATCTGATAACAAAAATGACAGCTGGCACCAACGTGACAGCTTATTCCAAACAATCTTGAAGACCCAAGTAAAATGTCAGTGATGAGACAGATTAAACGAAAACAAAAAATAATCTTGAGCAACTCACAGGAAATCATGTGAGGAATACAATGTAAATCAAACAAAGAGGGAAGGGAGGAAATGTAATACATTTGATACATTTGATGCAACTGCTTGGAACAGACCGTTTCCTAATTACATGTCTGTACTCTAGGTGCCTGGTACAGGGTATGCTTAATAGATTGGGATACACTCTGCTCATATAGAGTTTAAGATCCCTCGATCTACCTGAAGGCGTGCTCGTGATTTCGCTGGTTCTGCAGACAATTTCTGTATGACAGTAGGATGGCTGCTTCCATTGCAGGTAAGAACCCCATTCCTCGCTGAATTATTTAATATTATTACTGTCTGATTTTTTTATCCGTTCATTTTTTTAAATTTCTAGTCTGAAACTTTATTGAAACCGATCAGTGCAGCTTTTACTGGGTTGGATCAAGCCTCACGCATCAGAATGACTTCTGTTTCCCTAAGTTCCACCTTACCGCCAGTGGTGCTTTTTATGATGACAAATCTCTTTGCTTCGAAGCATGCAGCCCCGATGCCTTGCCATATCGACAATGGAGGCTCCCTGAGAGAGATACAGGAAAAACTTGGACAGCTTCAAATGGTAGTAAAACTTTTAAAGGAAAACAAGAGAGCAGGGATATGTAAGTAAGATTATTTCTCTCGTGTGTAGTCAGGTGACTACAACAACAACAACAACAATTTAACATTTATATAGCGCAAACTACTATATAGATAATCATTCGCGCTTTACAATCAGTTAAGGTGAGATCGGACGTCAGAATTCATCACGCGCAATATGCAGCCACTTGAGTCCATGTATTGATCTCACCTTCCCTCCCCAATTCACCCTAGAGTAGACACTAGATAGATAGATAGATAGTTTAATCTCAAAATCATTTGCAGCCCGAGGGCTGAATTACGCCTTTTTACAATCCAAGAAATTTAAAATTTAAAATTTAAAATTTAAAATTCAAAAACCTAATTACGCATCTTATTATACCGGCAGTTTACAATATTATAACATAATAATTAATTAAATAAAATATATTAGCTATAAATGTAAATTAATTAAACTAAGTGTAAAGTAATTAAAAGTATCTACATTATCAGTATCATCATTATTATTACTATCATTATAACGCGTGCCGTAACAAAAGTAAAGGATATCGCATCGATAAAAATCTAGCCATTAAACTTCTTTGCCACAGCAAATATAAAAGTGTTCATCGTTCTGGAAGTGCGAGAGCGTGGCATATTAAATTGGCGCTTATTTTTGAAGTTATAGCTGGGTTTATGTATTGGTGGAAGAAGCGCCTTTAACTTATGGTTAGGGTTGTCTAAGATACTTTTAAAAAACTTCTGACATAGAAATTCCTAATGCTCTAAGATAGGTCGTATTCCTAAATCTTTAGCAACCACGCAATCACCCGCAGTTATAGTGGAAATTGACCGTTTCTCAATACGTAAAAGATCATTTTTTTAGATATTACGGAAGCGCATTATAGAAGACAGGTATCGCGTACTCTGTTACAGATCTTACACATGATGTGTAGAAAAGTACTAGGTCTTGTAAGGGAACCCTAGCTGTCTTTAGTTGTACTAAAAATTACAACCTCTTACTGGCCTTTTTGATTACTTCTGATATATGACTGTTCCAGGTCAAATCGCTAGCTATATGAAGGCCCAGGAGTTTTACGCTATCAACTACCTCCAACTCGTTGCCTTCAATTCCTATGGGATCAAAGAACCTGGGCATTTTAGAAAATTAGATCCGAAGCCCTTGTACTTATCATAATCCAAGTGAACTCTATTTTCTCGTGACCACTCAATAACACAATCTGCTATATATTGGGCGTGAATTTCACTCTCTTTTGGTACCATCTCCGAGGCTGTTGTATCATCAACGTATTTCCATAGTGGATACGCGATTTCAAGGTCATTTATCATAAGCACAAATAACCATGGGCCCAATTTTGTGCCCTGTAGTACTCCGGAGGGCACAGATCCCCACTCCGAAAGGCACTCCGCAGGCAGCTTAATTCTTTGTACACTATACAAAGATAGACCACAACACGGGGCACTACGTGCCCTACTCTTTTCGAAGAGTGTGTGGGTTCTTTAACGTCCCACAATTTTTATCACATATAAGGGCTTGTGAGATGGGACCTCCATTTATCGTCCCTATCCGAGAAGACTAGAAAGTCTAACCATTTGCAGATATTATTACAAAGGCAGCACTTCCTTCTCAGTTATTTATAGACCCTGAGTGCTGGTCCGGTCGGAGTACTCTCGACCTCCCGCACAACAGTCCAGAGCTATACTAATTGAGCTAACCGGGAGGCGGAGACTATTACATTTATAACACTTTTTTTCGGAATGAAATAAGGATATAGTATTCGACAGATTTCAGAAATTTTATCAGTATCCCTGTTGAGGCCACGAGTGTAATAATTGGCCTCAAATGTAATAACTGGCTTCAAAAGTAATAACATTTGGCCTCTAATGTAATAAGTGACGCAAAAGTCAGTAAACCATACGTTTTGCGATAACTCAGTCTGCAAACATATTTTGGGCGTCGCCATGAAAAAACAGTTGTTGTTGTTGTTTTTTTTTAATAAATAGATGGATGAGGACTAGACTTGGACTTAGTGATCAATTACTGAAAATAGGCAAGTTCATGTCATCAGTATTTGATGATATCATCAGTCACGTGGCCGTCAGAAATTGAAATTTGGCAATGTGATGATGTCAATAGTCAAGGAAAATTTTATACAGCTTGGCTACATCTGGCATATTGCAACCAAGCTGTTGAAAGCTATCAAAGCTTTCAAGCTGTTTGCGACTTTATATTTTACTTGAGCGTATGCGGAACGCAAACGTTTCATCAAGGAAAAAAACGTCACACGCCTTTTTTAAAGAACGGACCTTTAATTTGGTGGTTTCTAGTCTTTTTCAATCTTTCTTTTAAGTTATTTTGTACTGGAAAAAATTTAAACAAATACCGAAGGAAGTGACAGTTTGAATCAATGATAAAGTAGGGTAGATTTTGCTTGATTTAAGGCGAAAAAAATTCGAAAATTCGGTATTGGGTGTATCCGGGTATGTGTTATCGGACGTCCTCCTACTCAGTTTTCATAATTTTCTGGCGTAAAACTAAAACAGATAGCGCTACTCTTGTGGACAGGTTTAGTCAGTTTAGGGAATCAATTAAAGAATGCCGGTAATGTAGTTAGTGTACTTATTTTTGAACGAATTGTGTCATTTTAGCAGAGTTTTTAAGCGTAGCCTAGCATTACAACAAAGACTTGCTCAGGCTCAACAAAAAACTTAAACGCTCTGAATGTTTAAACTTACCTTGCTGTTTAACGCATAGCATCTCTCCTTGGCGATAATGAAAATATGTATGATGCGTAACGACAAAAGACAAAAACTGACCTTAGTCTTGTGATTTATTGTCCAAACAAAATAGATCCTCTGAACCTGAGCTGCCGTGACAAGATAAATAATACACAACAAAAGTAACCGAACTTATTGATAACGTAAAAAAAAAAAGCATGGGCGTCCTCTATACCTAACTACAACAGTAAAAGAGTGGAGTATGCTAGTTTTTCTGAGTCTTTGCATGCTTCCAGTGTATGCGCGTTATCAAGAACTATCCATGCGGTTGTGGCTCTAACTGAAGCCATGCCTAGTGCCATTTTGAAGATGGTAGTATTTGCTGCAGGCGTACAATAGCAACAACAACAACAATTTAACATTTATATAGCGCAAACTACCATATAGATAATCAGTGGCGCTTTACAATCAGTTAAGGTGAGATTGGACGTCAGAATTCATCAGGCGCACTATGCAGCCACTTTAGTCCATGCATTGATCTCACCTTCCCTCCCCAATTCACCCTATATTAGACACTACACAAAGATAGACCACAACACCGGGCACTACGTGCCCTACTCTTTTCGAAGAGTGTGTGGGTTCTTTAACGTCCCACAATTTTTATCACATATAAGGGCTTGTGAGGCGGGACCTCCATTTATCGTCCCTATCCGAGAAGACTAGAAAGTCTAATCATTTGGCAGATATTATTACAAAGGCAGCACTTTCTTCTCAGTTATTTAAAGACCCTGAGTGTTGGTCCGGCCGGAGTCGAACTCTCGACCTCCCGCACAACAGTCCAGCGCTATACCAATTGAGCTAACCGGGAGGCGGTTAGCACCACTTCCTCTCCCTTTTAGCATTACGATTTTCCGCACGTTGATAGCCGTAGCGCGATCAACGAGCTCTGGTATGTATACTCTGGGACAAGGCACATTATCAGCCGTTGATCTAAAGAATTTGTTCACACCTTTTAAGTTATCTTTCATGAAAGGGAAGGTGCAAACGTTAGTTTGATAATTATCTCTAAAACATCATTGTTCAAAAATTACCGATCTTGTGAATCGTCTGAGCCCTGAACTCCACCTTCAATGGCGTTATCTGAATCACGTCCTCCACAACATCGTCAGCAACATCAGCAACATTAGGTCTGTCATCATCAGTTATGGCATTACCACCATCGTCCTCATCCTCCATGAAGCCATTACAGCCACCGATACTGTTTTGAACACCCGGGGTAAGACTGAAATAATGTTCTCCGCGATTTTCAGTGAAGTGGCCAAGATAGACGGTAGCGAGAGGGATGCTGGATGAGGGGTTAAATGTGTGATTAGCCCCAACAGCAAGAGAATGGAGAACATGAACGTCGACGTTATGCAGATTTGCTGCTGCATATAGAGTAAGCTGATCCCCAAACGTCTGCTTTGCATCATGTATCAAAGGTAATCGTCTGAAGTTTTGTATTCCGGAACCAGTTCTAATGGCGGGAATCCATCATGATTGAGGGGATTACTTTCCAGGTATTCGACTATCCCATCACTCAAAGTTTCAGGAGACCTTAGGATGCTAAGACCACTTGACTGATATGTGCTAAAGCCGCAAATTGACAATTTCCATTTCCACGGGGATAGTACATAATTACAAATACTTCATCCTCTATTATATATTTTCCCGTAGTCTTCCTTTTCCATGTGGATAAGAAATTTAGCACAGTGGTTTTCTTCTCGCTGTTATGAAAGCTTTGCAACTCTTTGTTTGTTTTTGTCTTCTCGCAAGGTTAAACTCGTTAAATCACCAACTTCCAGCCACTTCTTCCGTTTTTTTTTCCTGTTTCGGGGGACGTGTACAACACTTTATATAGGTGCCTCTTTCAATTTCTCTTTTCAATGACCGCCGCAGTAACGCAACACTTCTTTTGAAGCCACCCTTTACCACAAAGGCGCACACACTTCTTCGTTGACAGCATATTTTGAGGGTGGATTGGTTGTTGCGTACGCCTGTTTCATTCTCCTGTCACACCTTACTGTGGCGGTGTGACTATCCTTTCTAACGACTGTACGTGTTTTTGTCGGTGCTTTCGATCTGCATAGCTAGGGTTACACTATCTCTTATTCTTAAGTAGTTCTTTTTCTATTCCTGGGGTCAATGTCCTATCAAGTGAATTACTTCTTCGAGCGAAGTAGACCTCAACAGGTGTCTAATATCCTAATACCTCTTTTGGGACTTCATTTAGATTTAGCTGATAATTACTCACATTTTCCGTCCA